TCCCAGCTGTGTGCTCTGTGTCCAGGTCTGTGGCTGAACAGCCAAGTGCCTCCATCACTGGGCAGCTCGGAGGATTTATGGAGACGTGATCTCAGAACAGCAGTGCCCGGCACGTAGCTAGCGGCCCACACATCAGCCAGGCTGCTGCTGCCCTGGCTCCCAGCCAGCACATCCCAGGGGTCCCACGAGGGGCAGCGGCTGACATGATGCCCTGTTCTAGCAACCCCTGGGGCCCCAGCCCAGCACACTGCTCTGTGCCGCCAAAAGCAGAAATAACTGTCTATTTTGAGGCATCACGGAGGATGTTTCCATGGTTACCCTGTCATAATGACTAGTAGACAAAAGACGCGAATTTCCACGGCTTCGGAGGAAGACAGTGAGGCTGTGGGCTGGGCAGCCGCGTGGCCCAAGCACCCCAGCTCCGCTCCTGACAGAGCACCCGGGGAAGCCACCACACCGTGCTGTGCCTCAGTTTCCTTAGCTGTCCCAGGGCAGAAATAAACACCCACTTGTGGCCCAGGACACTCTTCATCCAGTGAATGGAGAGTCCCGGGTTTAGCTGTTAGGAGGTGCCCGCCACGCCTGAGTCTGGGGCCCCCAGATCAATCAACCGACACGAGATATTAAGGAAGAAATCTAATCTCTGGGGCTCTTTAAAGACTCGGTTTGAACAACAACCATTTGTGTTCTGATCTGAAACAGCCACACCGGCCTCCTGCTAACCAGCTGTGGCTGCCCGCCCGACTCCCCCGGAGGGCTAAGAGCTGGCGGGATCCCATCCCCGTGAAGCTGACACCCCATCCACTCGCTACCAACGGCAAGTGCATGAAACCAGGAAAACAAGCCAGAAGGCACACTTGGCGGGAAAAGGCTGCGAGCGATCCCTCTACCAGCGATAAAGGGCAGGTGTCGGCACACGATATCGAGTTGGAGAATGAAGAAAAGTTCTAGAAAAAATTTAAAATACAACATCTATTCCATTGAGCAAACCTGTATAAACCAACCACCAAAGCCGATCTACACACGAGTTTCACTAAGACTTCAAGTTAGAGGTTAAACTAACCATTCTGGTCAAAGAGGGAGCGTGGCCTAGCTCGTTTGACAAGAGTAGAAGAATCCTAATAAAATTGGGCAAAGAGAGTGCCAAAAAAAAAAAAAAAAGACAGTTGAAGACCAACTTCCAACTTCACTTATTAATGTTTATGCAAAAAGCAGAATTTTTGCATTTATGCAAAAAATGTCTGGGCCACAGCCCGGCCCCTGGGGCCGATGGGGGAAAGGAAGAGATCATGGTGGTCGGAAGCCACGGTGACCCTCCCTTCATGCCTGGGCCCTGCAAAAGCTTTCTGGAACCTCCGTGGGCTCTCTGGGCAACTCTGAAGTTGGTATGTTCCCGGCGGCCCTGGGAGAGGAGGCAAGAAACACAAATGGAGCTGAGTCATCCAAGAAGAAGTTCGAGTCCTCGCACTCTGAAGTTTGTAGGCTGATTCACACGCGCTGCAGACACAAACCACCCCCAACCCCAGGCATGTGACAGCTACGTGCCCGGAATCCGCCCGTGTGTGCCATCACAGTAGTGACGGCTGGCCCTGTGGGTGGCCACATGCTCAGACCCCTGGGGAGCAGGATGACGAAAGCCAAGAGGGACTGACTTCCCACCACCAGCCCGCCCGAGAAACGTCATTCAAACAGTGTGGGGTGCACGAAGCTGTCTCTCTACTCCCCAGATACCACCAGCCTTCCCGCACACACACCTGCTTCCTGATTCAGAGTTGAAATCCAAACTAAAATGCAAAAACACAGACAGATGTAGAAAACACGATTATCACTTTCCAGCGCCCACCACTCAGGGACTATCTCTTGGCATTATTTCTTTCTCCCTTTTTCTGTTTCAGTTTTTTTGGGGTGTGGGGATAGTCTTTGCCTTACTTTCTTACCCCCATCAGACATTTTAACATAATCATTTCCTTGTGTCATTGAAAATCTTCTGAATCAAGATTCTAAATGACTGAACGACACTGGAGTATACAGATGGCATTATCATTCACTTGTCATTTGCTCTGCTGGACTTCTAGAATGCTTCTGAATTTGGCCCGTATAAGAAAGGCTGGCTTAGGAGGCCTGGGTGGCTCAGTGGGTTAAGCCTCTGCCTTCGGCTCAGGTCATGATCTCAGGGTCCTGGGATCAAGCCCCACATTGGGCTCTCTGCTCGGCAGGGAGCCTGCTTCCCCCTCTCTCTATGCCTGCCTCTCTGCCTACTTGTGATTTCTGTCTGTCAAATAAATAAATAAAATCTTAAAAAAAAAAAAAAGAAAGAAAGAAAGGAAGGCTGGCCTCGAAGTCTCATCCTGCATCCTTCCCGTGGGGCTTGCATGGGCTCAGTGGAGCCCAGACTCTTCCCCAACCTCGGTCTGTGCCAGTCGGACCCAGAGCTGCACACAGATAAGTCTCCAGGCCACCTGTGGCCTGAGGCACAGAATAATGGCCCCCAGGGTGGTCTGCCCCCTAATCCACAGCACCTGGGAATATGTTCTGTTATGTGGCAAAGGGGAAACTAAGATCACCGATCAGCCAAATGTTCCAGGTGGGCCCAATGGAATCCTCAGGGTCCTTAAAAGGGGAAGGGGAGGCAAAAGCCGGAGAAGGGGAGGCATGGATTCCTCCTCGCCAGAGCCTCCAGAAGGGACCAGCCTCCAGAAGGGACACCTTGATTTTTGTCAGCTCAGACCCGTATCAGACTTCCGAACTGCAAAACTGTAAGAGACAAAATACCTGTGTCCTGTTAAGCCATAAGTCTGTGGTGATCTGTTTGGGCAGCCCTGGGACCCCAATAGGGCCCTGGGTTGCCCCTTGGGGGCTGGGCGCCATCCACACGCACACCTGGGCTTCCTGTCCATCCAAACACTGACAGCTCCGCACCTTTATCTCCAGCTGGTACCAACCCTCCCTGGAGCCCAGCACGATCTCCCATGTACATGTCCAACACTGGCCCTTTGGTCCCATCTCTGCTCCTGGCTGCCCTGCTCCCTGCAAGCCCGTTGTCCGTCCCAGGACAGGACCCCACCTTCACCCACCGCACAAACAAAACCTCAGATGGAGTCATCATGGTCCACACCCCATTTGGCACAGGCTGCCAGCTCAGCCTTCAAAGAACAGTTCCCAGAATTGGGGCTGACTCCTCGCCTTGGCCATCCCACCCGGGGTGCACTGTTTCTTCTCAATGAACCTTGGGGTGGGGCTCCTCCCACCCGTTTCCACGCTGACCCCTCTGTAGTCTGTTCTTCTCAAACACACATCTCACGAGATCCTGCCCTGCCCTCAACCCTCCACAGGTGTCTGACCTCACTTAGAATCAAACGGGATCCTTCCCCTGACCTACGGGCTTTCTAAGTCACCCACCTTGCGTGCCTCTCTGACCTCAGCTCTCGACATCCTTCCCCTTGGTCACTGCACCTCAGGTCCCACCTCAGAGCCTGCAGTGTCCCCCTTCTAGAACATTCTTCCCCCCAGAGATTGCATGGCTCAATGGCACCTCGGGGTGTCCGTTCCATTTTAACTTCTCCCTGCGCCCTACTCCTCGGTGACTGTTGTTGCTATCTGTCACCACCTCCTGACATGACACGACCCAGTGACGAGTTCATCGCCTGTCTGCTAGCTCTTGCTACACCCACCATGGCAGGAAACATCTGGAGCATAGCAGGTGGTGTCCAGGCTCTACTCAGAGGGCCATCTGCTCTCCCACCCTCGGGGCTGGCCTCTCAGCCCTCTGAATTTGCAAGTGCAAACTGCACAAAGGGATGTCCCGCCCAGTGAGGAAACCAGAGGGGAAGGCCTGGAGAGGGACAGCAGCGGAAATGGGCTTGCCTAGAGAAGAGCAATGTGGGGAGATGAAGGGGGACCAGGCTTGGTCAAGGAGTGGGGAAGGGCCAGCAGCCGCAGAGGGTCCTGAGCTCGAGCCCCTGTGAGCCAGCCAACAGCCACCCTCTTGGGCTGCCTAAGGAAACCAGGCTCCCGAGGGGAGAAGAGTGAGCCAGTCCCTCCCAACAGACCTTGCTAAAACTGCCTCCAGGGGCCCACTGGTCACTTATTCATTCATCCATTCATTCACTCAACAAATGCTTATTTCCAGATACTGTTGCAGGCTCTGGGGTAGAGACAGAGAAGAACCAAAGTCCCCACCCTTCTGACTGGAGTCCTGTCTGTCCCTGTCCCCTGCTGCCACTGCAAGGTCACTCAGGGAGGATACCCTGGCCTGACCCCTTGATCCTCTGCCTTCAGAGGCCTCTGGGAAACCCAGCACCAAGCAGCTCAGCCTGGAGAGTCCTGGGTTCAAGTTCTGCCTCACCACTTGTCACTCTGGGTGACACTGGACCCATCCCTGGAGCCTCAGCTTCCTGTTTTGTGCAGCACTCCGTCAGTGCTCGTGTGGGGATGAGACGATGTGGGTGACAGCTGTCTGGGTGCCTGGCTCAGCATGTCCAGTGAGGACAATGGAAGTTGTCCTGTCATGTTCCCTGGACCTCGCTCAGGCATCCCCCTCCCTGGCTGGCCCTGAGGTGGGTTCCAGCATGAGGAAGTGACCTCATGGAGCTCACAAGCTGCTGGGGGAGATGCCCCAGCCCACAGAAAATTCTTCAGGGTGTGGTCAGTCTGAGAGAAGGAAGCTCTGGGGACTCCAGGGGCACAGAGAAAGGGCCTGAACCAACGTGGAGGTCAGGGAAGGCTTCCTGGAGGAGGTGACCGCTAAGTATGGTCCCTCCTTAGCTTCTGGCTCCCAGCTTACTCCCGGACCCTTGTTTTAGCAGCCTGGTTCCTGGATGCTGGGCAGCTCCTATCTGCGGACTCGGGGGGCAGTGGGTGGCAAGATCAGCTTCCCCCTGCCCCAGCCAGTGCAGGAGACGCCTACGCCACTCCCACCTTCCCCGGGGCACCAGCCCCAGGATGGGCACTGTCCTGCCGCCCCCACTCTGTACTGGGTCCCAGCTGGTGTGGACACTTACGTTTGGAGTGCTTGTCACACAGAGCGGCTGCGCGCATGTCGCAGAGACGCAGGGAGCCCTTGCTGCTGCTGTAGACAAAGAGGTTGCAGTGGTGGGGGTGAAACTCAGACGCCGTGATCACTTCCGTGAGGTCCTCCATATTGGCTGGCTTGATGTCCACGATGTCTGGCCCATCAAGGAAAAGGCAGAGAAGGCAGGGCACCCTCGCTGCTCTGCCTTCCCACCTACCCTGTGTCTGAGCCGCATCTCCATCCCCAAGACCCCTGGACAAAGCCCCAGACGGTTTCCAAGCTACAGACCGGCATGTCCAACTGCCCGCGGGCTGCCCGCTCTGGATGTCATTCACTGTCCCTGCAGCCTACCCCCCGACCTATGCCTTCTCTCCAGCCAGCACCCACCAGCTTCCCAGTCTCCCCTCCTCCCCCCACACCAGGTGCCGAGCAGAAGGCAAGGAGCGTTTGGGGGCCTAGCACGTGTGGGGCTCCTGGTGAACAATTTCAGTTCTCCCTGTCACTGATGCTTTGCACCTGGGGCTGAGTGTGCGGGGAACCCCACCCACCGGCACCCACTGCCCTTCTGTCCATGGCATCAAGACTCTCCTTTGGGGAAAAGGTTCTCTGCCTTTCTGGGTTCTCTGCCCTCATCTGTGCCTTCCACTCCACTCACAATCGCCAGGAGGGCTGAGCATGTGGCCTCGCAGGTGCCGGCACAGGGATTCCAGGCTTGAGATGCAGGACATGCTGGGAGCAGCCATGTCCTCTCTGCTAGACTGGGTGGTGTGCTGAAGAGGGGCGTGTTCGTGTTGCTGGGACAAGGGAAACCTGGAGCCCACAGCTAGGGCAGACACCCCCAAAGACGGAGCAGAGGAAAAGACCCAGCAATGCCGTTTGAATCCTGAATCGGGATGTGCAGGAAGCCATGAGCCTTGTACAATTAAACATGGGAGTCAATAAATCCATTTTCTATTAGGATCAGGAATTCTGTTGCTTGCAAAGAAAGTATCCCTGGCAGATACTCTAGAGCCCAGAGAGGGTAAGCAACTTGCCCAGGATGGCTCAGCAGCAAGTAGTAAATCTACGTTCCCAGCCATTGCTTATTGTCTACAATAGCAAATCCAAACCCGTTGGTGTAGCGTTCAAGGTCTGGCACAGCCCCTCTCCACCTCTCCAGCTTTGGATCCAACTGGTCCCTGGGCCCTAAAGGTGCTTTCCTCGCTGACAGCGACACCCTGGTCTCTGGTGTCCCCAGTCCTGCGCGGGGGCTCTACCCAGCCTGTCCCCTGTAGCTGAAATGCCCTCTCCTCCCTCTGCATCTGTGTGTGGGCCCTGGAATCAGAGCCTGGGGTTCAAATCCCAGCTCTGCCACCTCTTCCCCATGCAATCAAGGGGAAGTTCCCTAGCTCTTCGTGCCTCTGTTTCTTCATCCGTAAAATGGGCCAACAGTTCTAACACAGTCGTACTGTGAAAGCTACAGGAGTCCAAGCCCCTTGCTCACTGCTCGACACATCACAGAGCTCAGTGAATATCAAGGACATTACTGCTTTTTGTTATCTGGAAAATACTTATTGAGACTCACCTGCCATCAGCCCTCCCTCCTCCTCCCACCTGCAGCCTCAATAAAGGGGCATTTTGTGACTTTTGCAAACAGGAGAGTTTCTAAAACAACACAAAAAAATGTTGAAGCTGAGTGACCAGAAGCACTGAGGAGAGTCGGTGTGCTCACGCTCAAATACTGCTTCTGGAAACATCTCATTAACCAGAAACTTAGAATCACATAAAAATATAGAGGAGAAAGGAGCCTGGGCTGGTTTCCCAGGAAACTGCCATTTTCTGGGACAATAAGAAGAGATTAAATCATAGAAAATGAGACTGAACAGTAAGAAAAAGCTGAGACTTCTGTGCTGCTAATTCCATCCCCATCCTTCAGGGGCTAAGCGCCTACATATTCCTGCTTGGGAACGGCTTCAACTTCTCCCCAAACCTTAAAATGGTGTCTGGGGAAAAGGTGCGGCCGTTTATGAAATGTCAGACACGTGAGCACAGCACCCGTCTGATGCTTCGGCCCGGGAGAACTAAGTCCTCTCTGCCAAACTCGGGCCACAAAAGTCCAAGGAAGCTTGGGGACATGGAAATAAATGCCCAGGCCTCAGGGAATCCAGCTGGGCTTGGAGACCTGGTGCATCACATATTAGGGGACACATGTTTGCACCGTGTTTTATCAGGCTGCGACTTCTGGGGGAGCTGGAGTCTGTGGGATAAGGTGGAAACACCTTGCCAACCACTCCAGCTTCCCTTCTGGGGCAGGGTAGGGGGACCTGTCCATGGGCATCACAGAACTCAGGGCACCTGTGTCCTGATTGCTTTTCCCAAAGAATGGAGGGCAGAAGTGACAGGTGCCAGGTGTTCCACCCCACCCCCAGGCTGAAAAGCTTTGAGAGTCAGCACGAGGTGCACCATGACACCTTCCCCTCTGCAGGGAGGACCTGTGCCCTAGGGGACCTGCTACAAAAGATACCTGAATTGTTTCAAGCTTCTGAGACTTTCCAGTGGTCTGTTTCTGCCCATAACCTACCCTCCCGACCCACTCAACATCCAAGCCCTCTTCCTTTTCCCACCTCGGGATGTTCTAGAATGCAGCTCAATGGAGAAGGATCAGAGGTGTGACATCTGAGCTCCAATCACTCTGTGTCCACCAAAACCAAAACTCTTATGCACCCAACCACAACTGTTGTTCTGTTTATGACCGTCGTGAGTCACCGGCCACCCACATTTACTCAGTGTCTGGCTTGTGTAGACAGAGGCCGACGCTTGTGAAAATCTGTTCACCAAGATGGGAAGACTGTGCGTCCCTGGGAAGGCAGCGCAGTGGGGGCGGGAGGCTCAGAAGCCTCCTCCCCTGGCCCCCAGGTGCTGCTCTCTGACCCACAAGGGGCCCAAGGCCAAGCGAACGGGTGTGGCCTCTTTGCTCAAGTCTGGACTGCATGCTTCCTGCGGCCCCATCATGCTTAACCAGTCCTACCAGCGTCATGAAACACCTGCTAGAAATACGTTCAAGGCGTGACCACTTTTAGAAGCACACGGGGGTCAATGACGTCTGCAGCCCTCTGCAGTGAGCAGGCCTGAACCAGGCGGCACAGAGGGGCCGAGGGCGAGGCCCGTGGACTGAGGTTCCCACGTGTGGGGCTCGGCAGGAGAGCCTCCCAGGCCGAGGTCCCGCTGACAGCCCAGGACCACCGCTCTTACAGCCCAAGCATCACTCAGGGAATCTCCTGCAGGAATTCCAAACAAAGGACTCTGGGTACAGGGGTTGCTGGGGAAAGATGGATGGGAAACGTTTCCACATGATCCTGCTGGAAGAAGACCTCTGGTCACACCCTGGCATCTAAGTCTGCAGACCAGAAAGGTGGAGAGAGAAGCAGGTCACACAGGGAAGGAGGAGGACGAGAGACGGTGAACTTGCTCGGGGCCACCTCCCTCGACTGAGCATAAGGGACTTTTCATCCAGAGCAGCAGGTTGAATAGGTGACTAGTAAATGGCCACAACCTAACCGCCAGAGACTGCACATGTGGCCTCGCTGAGAGAAAGAGTACTTGTGGATATAGGGAAGGGCCTTAAGAGGAGGCCGGAGTGGCTCTGAACCAGTGACAAGTGTCTTTCTAAGGCCCCATGACCACGGGGGCAGGCTGGAGAGCAGGCGGCTGCTAGGAAGGCCTGGGGCTCCCAGGAGCTGGGAGACGCAGGATGGAGGCTCCTGGGGAGCCTCCGGAGGGAGCACAGCCCCAGCCAGCATGAAAACTGGAGTAGATTTCTGTCGTAAGCCGCCCGGTTTGCAGACATTTGCTCTGGCATCTGCGGGAAACTCAGACGCCGGCTTGCTGCTGGGAGCTGGGGAGCAGCGGCCTGGCTGTCGCACTAGTTCCCCATAGTGCTCACTGGTTGGCTGCCCAGCTCCCCAGTGAGGGCAGGGACCTGTCCGTCTGCGTCGCTGCTGCACCTTCAGTGTCTGGAGCAGCGCCTGGCACACGACAGGGGATTTGCAGAAGTGGATGAACCCCCGAGCCTGTCGGGGGCCCCTGAGAGCTGGGCCAGAGGTGCACAGGGAGGATCCCACCCAGCTCAAGGGGACGAAACCCTTACAGGGAAGGCGAAGTGCAGGCTCAGGGAGAGGCCAGGCCAGGGGGGGAGGGGAGGGGGTCCCTGACAAGGGCCATTAGAAGGGCCACCGCCCAGCAGTGCGTAGGAATCCTTGCAGCATCCGTGCGAACACTCCAGAGCACGGCGGAACCCAGGAAGCACACTGCGCCTGGGTTTCTGTGAGGTTCTCGGGAAGGTTGCCTTCCTTAGGTCCCCACTGCATTCTGCCCGCAGACCTGCTCGTGCTTGGCTTTTGCATCTGGTCCGCCCTGGGGCTGGCCGCTGGCATGCTGCTTCCTGGCTGTGACCCCTCAAACCTCTCCAGCCGTGAGTGATGTGTACCCCATCCCGTGGTGGAGGATGTGGTTGGGGGGGGCTTGGGAAGGAAGAGCCGCACTCTCGGGTCTTGGCAGAGGGGGTCCCGCCCGGGACTGACTGAGCTGGTTTCCACTGTCGGCAATGCGCCCCCGTGACGGGGGCAAAGCAGAGCAGGGGTGAGAAGTGCACACTTCGGGCCGGGAGGGGTGTGGCCCCTGGAGCGCCAGGGTCTAGGGGGAGGTCTCTAGCTCCTCACAGCTTTGGGGTCCTGCCCCATATCTTACAGTGAATCCCTTTTCTTTCCGGGCCCAAGTGTCAACGGGCAGATCGCTCTAGACCCAGGGCAAGAAGATGTCTGTAAAAGGCCTGAGAGTCAGGATTTTAGGCATAAGAGGCGGTAAGATCTCACCTCGACTGGTCAGTGCTGTGGCTCCTCAGCAAAGCGGGTGCGGACAACATGAATGGGAGTGGCTGAGCGCCCTTAAAATGCGAGCAGGTGCTCTGACCCCCAGGGCTGCGCTTTGCTGGCTGCAGGCCCAGAAAAAGGACTGTGGTCTTGCTTTTGTAACAGTAACCTCCCTTCTTGACCCCCCGCAGGACCAGAGTGAGACAGAGCCCCACTGGCCCGGCTCCTCCCTCCAGGGCCTGGCTGTGCCCTGTGAGCTCTGGTCCTTGCCGGGAGGAGTCAGCAAAGCTCTGAAACAGGCCTTTGT